AATGAAATCATTCAACATCTTTACACATTAGGGAAATTCAAAATAGAGCTGGGAATGTAAATCCATGCATACCTATCAGAACAGCTAAACTAGAAGTCACACAAAAAGTTTGCAATGATGCAGGGAACCTGGATCACTCTTGCATCATGGGTGTGAATGTAAAATGGTTCAGCTATCATAGAAAGCAGTTTCAATGTTTGCAAAACTAACTGCAATAACTATACCTTAGCAATTGTTGTCTTGGACAATTACTACAGAGAAATAAAAACTTAAATATTCACATAAACACCTGCACAAACTGTGCATGTTTTATTTGTATTAACCCCAAATTGCAAATTACCAAGGTTAAACCAATTGTGGTACATCTATGTAGTGGAATACTAATCCACCAGTAAAAAGGAATGAACTTGTTAAACAGCCTTGGTGGGTCAGAAGACGATTGTGCTGAATGAAGAAGAAAGAAAAGAAACAATTGCAATGGTCACATGCTTTGTGATTCTACTTATGTAACATCCTTGAAACAGGTATTGAGGTGCAAGCTAGTAGTTGACAGAAGGTATTTGGAGAGAGAAGCAGGGGGAGGGAGGAAGGTTGGCTTATAAGAGGCAGCATGGGAGACCCACAGTGATGGGGTGTTCTATGTCTTGACCGTGCTGCCACTATCCTACTGGGATAGTGAGCTAAGCTCTGGTTTTGCAAGATGCTACCAGTGGGTACACATGATAACTCGGCATTATTTCTAACAATTACATGTGAATCCACAATTCCCCAAATCTAAAAAACAAAGTCATTTAAAAACTTGAAGTTTTAATAAACACTCATCATTGTCGAGCTACACTTTGTGATTGATAAAAATTACCCACCTTCTTACATAAACATCCCAATATTTTCCTCAGCTATCTTACCGACTACCTAACAATTACCAAAATTATGAAAGACATGTTTTCATATTAAGAACAGTTTGAGCAGCATAGTAAAAAAATTAAACAAGCATGTTTTTTTTTAAAGGCTAATCTTGAGAGTGAATAAAATGCAGCCACACGAAAAACAAGCTTTCTGTGAAGCAGGGGGCAGCTGCCCATGCTGTGCTGGTCCTGGGCTACTGTGTACCCTGGATTCTACATCTGGGTGACCAGGAAGAACTGACCCTTTGCCTGCCTTTTGTTCTTTCAGGATCTCCTCTTCAGCGTGTGCGCCCTCAATGTCCTCTCTACCATCGTGTGTGCATTGGCCACAGCCATGTGCTGCATGCAGATGGTCTCTGCCGATGTCCTGCAGATGGTGAGTGACCCTGCTCCTGCCCAGGCCCTCCCAGAGTGCCCAGCCCAGCCCCCCTGCAACCAATGGGAGTCCAGCTTATATGTGTTCTCTACTTCTGGTTAAAGAACCTTGGGTTCTGTTGGTTCAAACTGCCCAGAGATCCTTGGAGTCACCTTGTGTTGCTCTGGAAAGGGGAACTTGACTGCTGTTGCCTTACTTCAGACATCAGTTGAGTTCCATGTTTATGATAGAGCCATCTCCCCTCCCCACCCCAGAGCACCTGGAATGTGTCCCCTAGTAAGTCAAAATCCTGCTGTGGTGGACACCCTCCGGGATCTTAAGAGCAAGAATTGTCCTTATTCTTGAGAATTCTCTGTAATAGAAGTTTGGAGTTGTTAGAAGATGATTTCTCAAACTGAAAAACCTCTGTTCTTTGCTTTGGAAATTTGCTAATTAACCCTGAGGTCATGGACTAGTGGCCCTCATCTGGTGTCATGGCCAGGGTCTTTAGGGAAAAAAGACCTTCTGCTCCCATGGGAGTGGTAAGGTCAGGGCAGGGGTCATGTTCTTATTAATAAACATCTCTAAACACACACTTCATGAGTCATGATGGCTCTTTGCTATCTCAGCATGAATGGACCACAGCCTAGGGTTCAATACATTATTGTGAAACTCATAATAAAAAGAAATTGGTATTGGTTTTGGCCCTAAGGGTAGGAGCCCATTCTCCCTCCTTCCCATTTGCTAACTCTCTGTCTGCTTTTCTTTTTCTCTTACTGTAACAGAATAGCCAAAGATGAAGTAACTTATAAAGAAAGTAGGTTTAGTTAGCATCCAGTGTTGGAAGGTGGGGAGCCCAAGGCTGCACGACTGCACACAGTTGGCTTCTGGTGTAAACCTCATGGCAAATGGCAGAAGGGAAGTGGGAGACAGAAGACGAGGGCTAACAGTCCTGCTCCCCACCCCCCACGGTAGCTAACCCTGCTTATTACAATGAGTGTTCACTCCCTCAAGATAGCTTTCATCCATTCAGGAGGGGTTGACTACTCTTACCGAAGCACTTCCCACTAGACCCATCTCCCAACACCACCATTTTGGGCTGGGATAAGTCACATTCAAGCTCTCTGTGTCTTTCAGCCTGACCCACAAGGCCACTGTGCCCTCCACCCAATAATGTTTTATGCATTTCATGGAAGAAAGGACAAGTTATTACTATAGTGGGCTTTTCTTTTATGTCTTCCTCCTCACCCACCCTTAACAGAGCATCCGTTAATCAAGATGTAAGGCCAGAGAGCATCATTACCAATATGTTAAAACTCCGTTGGTCCTAATCGTATGTGGCGTGCAGCCTGGTGCACTCTCGAAGCATACATCCACACAGCTGTCATAGCGAGCTGACCTTTCTGAGAGGTCGCAGTGTTCTGAAAGGTGTCTAATTAAGCAGTTATTCAGCAGGGTGAACTTTTGGCCTCATTCATCGAGGCCTCGTGTCGGCAATTTTCTCCAGCATGCTGTATAAAGGAAAGGTTAAATATAAATACCAGAAGCTTCTACCCATCTCGGTGGATTTTGCCATTGATCTGTAAATATCACACCAATTCGACCAGACTAACAGAAGTGAAGGCTGTAGATGATAGCAGTTTGTATCCCTGTGCTTTTAAACGCTCAAATGAAAATTGCCAACTAAATAAGAATAAGGTATATTCTAGCTGTGTGAGCATTTAGAATTAAACCAAAGTACACATTGTCCTTTTTGGTGGCCATGTAGAACAGAAGTAGGCCTGGGTTCATGCGTCAAGCATGTCCGCATCTGAGCCCCACTGCTTCTGCCTCTATGGTACCTCTGAGCACGTCACTGAACCTGCTTGTCCAGAAGTTTCCTCACCTATGAAAGGGGCCTTGCAGGACCACCTGCTGATGTTTGTTGATTTTTACTTATTGGCAGTGCTGGGGATGGAGCCTCGTACGGGCTGGGAAACAGCTCTACCACTTTGCTATGTCCCCAGCTTTACCTTCATTTTTCAATATGGTAGGAGTATCAGCCAATTCCTGGACACCACAGCAGTGACATCACAGGAATGACATCGTCATGGCACTGACTGCAAGTACAGTACTGCTTTACTGTACTAACTGTGCTGTGCTGCGAGCAAGCAAATGGTTACAGGAATTACAAAAGCTTAGTTTCCTGTCATGATGAAATACCCTAGGGTAGACTCCTATAAAGAGGTTATTTAGATCATGGTTTAGAAGTCCAAAGAGGCAAAACGGCATGGTAGATGGCATCAAAATGGGCAAAGATATACATAGATGTTAGGCTAACTCTTCCATGACAAGCTCTCTGAGCTAAAAGCATGACATTACTTTCCTCTAAAGGCCTTGCCTCCAGCCACCTAACTCCACCCACACCACCCTCACCCTTCCCAGGAGGCCTCACCTGTGAAAGAACACACACACACACACACACACACACACACACACACACACAGAAGCACCCTGCTGAGGTCAGTGGGGGGGACTAAACACATCCATGCCACAAGCTACCATCAAATCCTCCTGGCTTATAAGTAGGAGTAATTGAGCAGCCTGCAGGTGAGACCTCCTCCTGTGCTGTGGCACAGGCAAGGTTCTGGTCTCCCAGTCAAACTGAGCTGGGCATGCTCCAGCATCATGGAGCAGGGGAGCGGGGCAGGAGGAAGAGCTGTTTATAGCCATGGTGTCTGTGAGACCAGCCTAACGAACCTGTGGGCACATCACCACCCACTGGTCTTGCTTCTTTTGCACTGAAGGCCATTAAGTGTTTGAGCCTTTCTATCCTGCCAGAGAGGATGGATCATACAATGTATAGAATTTTTTTTTAATCAGGGTAGCCTTATGAATTGTGGCTGGCCCAGGCTGTGGCTGTGGTGGCTGCACCCTGGAAGAAGTGAGATAGCCCAGTGGGGTTGTGGACACACCCAGTCAGACGTAACCAGAATGTTTAGGGAGATGCCTTGAGATCTCTTTTTAGCCTTACCTCATTTCATCCAGTTACGAAATTAAAGGAATAATATATGATCATTGGATGAAGCTAAATTACATAGCAGTACATAAAGAAAAGTTAATGACCTTCCTCACCTGCCCCTGGGAGAGACAACCACTAACGCTTGGCAGCAAGTCCTTCCATTCACCCATTATATCTAAGCACATATACAAATGCTTATAAATAACTTTCCTCCCTCGAATTCCACCCTCACCTCTGCCTAGTGCTTGTGAGGTGGTATTCCTTTGTAGTGTAGATTTGCCTTTTCCCAATGATTAATGATGTTGGTTCTCTTTCTGTGTTTAATGGCTACGTATAGACCTTCTGTGGAGAGAGGGACTTGACCTGGCCCATTTTTAAGATTGGGATTGTCTCTTACTGCTGAGTCACAGAGTTCTCTGTGTACTCTGGACACAGGTCTCTCTTCAGATGCACATTGTGTAAACGTTTTCTCCCGTTATGCTGATTATCTTCACACGTGGCAGTATCTCTCAAACCTCAACACTTTAGTTTCAATGGGGCCCAAGGTGTCCCTTTTCCCCACTTCTACTTTTGCTTTTGGTATCCTGTCTTCCAAGGAAATGAAATCATTTCTTCTGAGAGTTTTGCAGTCTTAGTTGACGTTTGGGAGCATCTTGAATTGGTTGTCATGCACAGTGTGAGGGACATCCAGTTTTGTGTGGTTCCCGATGCCATTTGTGCCACTGAGTTGGCTCAGTGTCACTGGTGGCAGCCAGTTGACCACAGATGTGTGGGTTTATCTGGGGGCTCTCAGTTCTGTTTCATCAGTCTATCTTTATGGCAATTCCACAGAGCCTTGATCACCATGTTCTAGTCACTTTTAAAATGGGTGTGAGAATTCTCCAGTTTCATTGATTCTCAAGCTGGTTGTGAAAGTCCACATCCTTGGAGTTCCCTGTGAATTTCCAAATCAATCTGTCAATTTCTAAAAGATAATCACATTGGGATTATATTAAATCGGTACGGCAGTTGTGCCATGGGCTTATCATGCCTCAGTGTTATCTTTCCGTCTTTGACATCTCAGTTCTGGCTGGATTCCCATTTGTTGAGCTCAGTTGTGGCTCATGTTAATTGCCAATCATTCTTCTGTTATTTTTACTTGAGATTCTCAAAGTGAGAATTATTATTTAAGTGTGTGTCTATGTCTGTGTGTATGTATCTCTGTGTAATCTGTTTCACTCTGTATGTGTGTCTGTATGTAATCTGTCTCTTTCACTGTGTGTGTGTGTGTGTGTGTGTGTGTGTGTGTGTGTGTATCTAAGTATGCATCTATGTGTCTGTGTGTCTTTATGGTACTGGAGATTGAACCCTGATCTTACATGTTGACAAGTGTCATACAGAGCCACAGCGCCTCTAAAATGTACTAATTCATGATAAGGTCACTGCTGGGGAGCAGCCCTCATGAGCATGTGTGCAGCCTCCCATTGGCCCATTCTTCATAACCAACACTCAAGGCTCTTTTCAGAGAGAACTGTGGGTATACTCCTGTTGTATGTGCCCCATTCCTGCTGTACTTACTGTACATTCCTGCTGTAAGTAATGCTGTACTTACACACATTCCTGAGTAACTCTCCACACAGGGATCCTGGGCTGAGGGGGTAAATCTGGTCCTAGCACCACACTCTGAGACTTTGTCTTAGTTACGGCTTCTATTGCTGTGATAAAACACCATGACCAAAAAGCAAGCTGGGGAGGAACGGGTTTGCTTGGCCTACACTTCTGCAGTGTAGTCTGTGGCTGAAGGAAGCCAGAACAGGAACTCAGACAGGGCAGGAACCTCGAGGCAGGGGCTGATGCAGAGGCCATGGAGGGGAGCTGCTCACTGGCTTGCTCCCCATGGCTTGCTCAGCCTGCTTTCTTATAGAACTCAGAACTACAAGCCCAGGGATGGCACCACCCACCATGGACTGGGCCCTCCCCCATCAATCACTAGTTAAGAAAATACCCTACAGGCTTGCCTGTAGCCCGTTCTTCTGATGGTATTTTTCTCAATTGTGGCTCCCTCCTTTCAGATGACTTTAGCTTGCATCAAGGTGATGTAAAGCTATCCAGCACAACCCCATCTTGGATCTCTTAGCTGACATCAAAGGAGAACAGCCCCAGGGGCGGCCATGCAAGGAAGGCAGCCGTGAACTATCCATGGGCATTCATTCTGCCATACAGCCGTCCTTGCTTGATTCTGGAGTGGTAGCAGATGAAACCCCAGCCATGATTCCTACTGCAGCTCATATGTAATTGTCATGTTAACTTTTTAGAGGAGTCCCAACTTTTTAACTTTTTAGAGGTGTCATGGACTGACACAGTCACCCTTTGCTCTCTGGCCTCCTTGGTTGATTGTAGGAGCCACTAGGCAGCTCTGTAGTTGGCTTGTGGATACAGGCAACTCAAGGTCATGACGGCACCTGGGAACTCAGCAGCACTCTTAGGGCTGTAGAATTCTAAGTACCCACATCTTCCCTATAATTTGAATGCATATTGGTGATAATTAGCTGCAGTTGGAACTAACATCGTGAATGCACAAGATGGCAAGTGTTACTCCTATTGTCAGAGCTGCTAAAGCCCGTCACTTCTAACACATGCAGAAATAGTAACTGCATGATGATACAATCCTGTTTATTGACATAGCACAGTGGAGAAGGTGCTTTTTACCTCCCAAGTGTCTCTAGTGTCGTCTCTCGTTTTGTTTTTAAATGTAATCTCATTTCCCTACTTTCTGCTGCATCATTCTCCTCGCTATTTCCCTCACTGCCACCTTAGCCTCAGAAGCATCCTCAGCTGTTACACAGCTTTGCTTGTCACAGTCATCTCACAGTAGTGCCCCGATGTTCTCACCTCTGCTCACATGTTTCATTAAGTGGAGCCCCCATGCAAAGTGCAGATGGGTGTGCACTTTGCACAGGCCTGATAACTGTGAGCACACGGCTGGAAGATGTGCAGGATACTCAAGGTCGTGACCCACCCCAGAAGTTTAGCAGTCACCCAAGGAGCCAGAATGCCAAGGAAAATCTGGGGATAGCCTTGTTCTTGGGGGGCAGAGAAGGCAGTGAGCCAGATATCAGGCAAATCCTACCCTCAGGTAACCAAATTCTTGCTGCCCAAGCCTGCCCTGCATCCTGCTCCCTTGCAGAAGATCGGGCACAGAGACAAGAGAACTAGTGACTATGACAGAGAGACCTTCATCTGAGCCTGCTTCATGGCTCTGTGACACAGGATAGTATTCCGTATTACAATTCTGGTGGCACCAGGGGAAAGGTGCGGTCACGTGGGTCTCAGCAGTCATTCAGTGTCTGGAGACTAGACTTCTGACTGGTAGTCTGAGGTCCATTAACCTCTTCATGGTCTCCTCCAGGCTGCAGAAGCTAGACTGTGTGAGCTTAGCCAGATTTTAGGGGCTCTATGTTGCAGGCCTTGGGCAGCTATCCAGTGTCAAGTAACTGCAGCTCTCAGGGCCCCTGGCTTTCAGGTGTTCCTGGAAGAAGCCCCCTCTTCCATAAGAGACAGGACATAAGGTCTCCAGGTTATCATTCATCCAAATAATGATAACCCCTGGGGGAATGTGTGAGCGGCTCAGCCAGTTTCCCCACACAGGTGTGCTGGTATCTCCATGTGCTTTAGACAGCCCAGGAAGACAGAACCACTCAGAGATTTCTTAGAGTCTGTTTTTCTACCTTCTCTGGGAGATATAGAATTATGCTTTATACCTGACCATGGAGGTGTAGACATGAGACCCCAAAGCATGGGGCCTGAGTTGGGAGGACGTGGGCTGGCACACAGGCCTTCCAGTCACACACATTCTGCCTAGTCCTGAAGGAAGCCAGGCAGGTTGCCAGGTAGAAGGAGCTAATTTGCCAGGAAGAGGAAACAAAGCACGTATGGTGTGGAGGGTGGCTGAGCAGACCTTGTTCGGAGCAGGGGGTGGTGGGCACTGGTTGGAAGGAAGCCGGAAACTGGATGGGATTCAGTGTACAGAGGTCTTGATGGTAGAAGATTTGCCTACAGCATGAGCTCATCTGGGCTGGTTTAAAAATAGCTCCTGCACAAGATGGAGACTGTATTCCAGGAGCAGAGGCCAGGCAGCTTGCTCCTTTGCTGCTCTGTTGGCTGATTCTGCGGGGACAGGAGAGCAAGGGCACTACAGCAGACAGGTAGCCACCCCTCCACTTGGCTGATGTTGGCTGAGCATGTGCCAGGCCCCGTTTAGGAGAGGATGGGGGATAAAACACAGGCAGCCTGACCGTGTACTTGTTACCTTTCTGTTGCTGGGATTAGAACACCATGACCAAGGCCACTTATAAAAGAAAGCAACGGTCCCCAGGGAAGACAAAGTCATGCCCAGAGGTTGGGTGCTTTTGCATTTCATGAGGTTTGCTTTAGTATACTGTTGATTCTTCTCATTTCAGAGAGAATAATTCCAAATAGTCCCAGGACCATCTGCCCTCCCATTGCCACCGAGCTGTCGAGCAGCAAGCATAAGGGTTAACAGCTTCAGAGGCAGAGGATGACAGCACACATCCAACCTACTCACAGCCATCCATTCCCCTCTAATTTCCCACAATTAAAGAAAAGGCAGTGAGTCAGACTAGCTGGAAGGGCAGGGAATGTGTTATGCATTGAGAAGGCTGGTGGTGGCCAATTTTAATCCCATGTGTCCCTCATTCAGACGTACTCATCAGTCCAGAGCACACTGACTTCACTGCATTTGACCATATTCTGAACCCTGGACTCTCCCCTGATAGTGCAGAATTCCTCCCACTGCCTGGCCCCATCTGGATGAGCCCACCCTATTCTTGCCACCACTGGGTACTCTCTGCCTCCCAGCTCTAATGTCTTCACTGGCCCCCACACATCCCCAGAATTAAGGATTGCCCAGATCCTTATTGTTTTCCTCTTCTGAAACACACCATTTACTGGTAACCTGTTTTAGAGCCTGGAGGTGCTCCTGAAGCCCCAGCCTTTGCCACCCCCACCAGTCTTCTAAGGCCCATTTAGATCTTATCTGTTTCATGAACACTTTGTGGATCCCATTCCCACACTGATTAGAGGACTGTATTTGTTAATGAAGCTGTTGTTCTTAACTGTGTCCATGTGACGCTTAGTGTTTGTCCCTTTTCTCTTTGCTGACATGCTATGGGAAACCTTGGAGCCCATGCAGTGTGGTTCATTTTACACCTATAGATGAAGCCGTGTCTCAGTGTCTCAGGCATTTCCCTGGAACATGTGACCTCTGACAGGAGTGCCCCAGGGTGGAAAGAGAAAGGAGTATTGGTTAATGTGTTAGAAACAGAAATCCAGGCAGAGAGCTTTTGTTAAAGAGTGTTCCCCTTGATATTTTAAAATGGCATCCAGTGTTCACAGTTGCCCCCACAGAATATTTTGGAGCTCATGGTGGGCTTTCTTCACCTTCAGAACAATGTCCTACAAAGTGTGTGGATCTCTAGATATTTCTGTCCAAAGGGCCTGTAGTGAACTATAAGGGTGGGTGTGTGTGTGTGTGTGTGTGTGTGTGTGTGTGTGTGTGTATGCCATGCTGGGCTCACAATACAGGACTGTGAGAAGGGATTTATGTATAGGGCATGGGTCAACTATACTTCATAATAGGAACTTGTGGAGTGAGCATGCTAAAAGTCTAGCCTTTTCTCACAAAGTGCTGTTTGGAAGCATGAATGGCAAGTGTCCTTTTGACTTCAGTGTTTAGGCTTTAGAGTCACAGGACTGAAGGTTCACAGTAAGAACTGTATTACAGATTTCCAAGGCAAACAGTTTTCACACACCATCACACACACACACACACACACACACACACACACACACACACACACACACACACACACACACTCAAAGACTACATAGCAGTAGAGGAAGCAGAGCAGAGGAGGGAGGGCCTCTCAGAGCTATCCTTGTAACGTGTGTGTTTAGCAGTCATAGCTTGGCAGGTTAAACTAGGTGTTTTACCATGATAAATAATGTGTTTGCAATTAGCTCTGTTAGCCGCCAGCCATACAAGATCTGGGATAACACTGGTTCTCTGTGCTTTCCAGTTCTTCCCACAGAGGTCTCACTCTGCTGGTGCTGCCTGCGTGACCCCACACGGCACCATTCTCCACCAGACCCTGGACTTTGATGAGTTCATTGCCCCCCTCCCACCTCCACCCTACTACCCTCCGGAATATACCTGCACACCCACAGCGGAGGCCCACAGGTCAGTCTTCCTCTCGGTGTCCTGTGTCCCCTGCTTCGAGAGAAACCACAGACAGGAAGCATCTTTGAGAGGAAGAAGTAGTGATGGCTGGGGAGAAAGAGGTGTGGAGTGGAACAGAGTAAAAGCGGGTACAGAGGCATGTGCCTCACAAGGATAGGAAATGAAGAAATGAGATGTGACCTGGAGATACAGTAGTTCTTTTCTTACTTTTGTTCTTTGGGGTTTTGGTGGAAGTGATGGGTTTATTGTGTTCTATTTTTATTTTGTGGTGACAGGGCCTCATTGTATAGCCCAGGATGGCTTTGAACTCTCTATGTAGCCCAAATGGCCTCATACTCATAATGTTCCTATCTCAGTGTCCCACATGCTAGAGTTACAGTCAAGCACAAGGCCTATCTTGAATAGAAGATTTCTGTTGGTGTCTTTACAGTGTCACCTATATGACACCATAGGCCAATAACAACTCCATTGTAGTCTTACACATGCAAAGTTGCTCCTGAGTGACAATTATCACAGAGCGTGGAACATTAATTAGAAATTTCATCAGCTTTATCATTGTTTTAATTATAATAGACAAGAGCTTAAGTGTTCTGTGAAATATGGGCATCTTTCAGAAGAAAGACCTGCCCAGTGATTTAGGCTTTAAAATTTTTTCCACATGACAAGTGTTAGACAGTCAACACTTGGAGAGAAATGCCAGATACTGGGCTCTGCCCTCAGAGGATGACCATGTGATGGCTGTTCTGTTTTCTAGGGGCCTCCACCTGGACTTCGCTTCCTCTCCATTCAGCACTCTATATGATGTTGCCATCAACAGCCCTGGCATGCTGTACCCTGCTGAGCTGCCCCCACCATATGAGGCTGTGGTGGGTCAGACTCCTGCCAGCCAGGTGAGTGTGGCTCAGGCCCTGACAAGACCAGCTCCTGTGCATACCCCACTTCCTGGCTTGTCCTCAGAAAGCTCCCTGACAATGTTGACTGTGTCTGTCACTGACATCAGCAACTGCCTTGTGATTAAAGCCTCTGAGTGTCCTGTAATGTAGGATGCTGATGTCAGCCTGGGCACATCAATATATGAACTTGCCCTTTGGTTACTCAACTTGATTCCTGTAGCCAGACACACAGCCCAGCCTCAGGTGTGTCTATGTTCCATCCTCCCCAGGTGTCTGGAGAGAATGTAGAAGGAAATGGGGTAACTTCTAACACATAACCAGAGAAGGGTTTGTGGACTAAGGACTCAGGGGACCAAGACCTATCTTAGCCATTGCTGCAAACATCAGATGGAACTGTAAAAGGCCAGGCAGCCCCAGGCCAGGGATGTGCTTCTACTGCCAGGTGTTTGGGACCTTCTCTGAGCTGTGTGTGCCAGGGGATCCTGTTGTTTCTGGGACTCACTTTGAGAATGGGAGTAGACAACCGTGACAAGGTTTGTGGTGAAGATGGTAACATGATGGGTCCTGGAGGCAAATGTGGTACCTGGTCTAGAAGCGTCAGGCATCAACCAACCCACATGGCAGGACCCAGAGGAGAGTACATTAGGACCAGAGCAAGGCCCTCCATGGATGGCAGACACCAGGAAGTCAAGAGGTGATGATGAGATGCAAATGGGCGGCTCCATCCTGGGAAGCAGGGACCTAGAAGCCATGTCTGCAGTAGTATGTAATTTCATTTCTGCCTTGGGCGAGAGGCTCTGCCATTTCCCACTCCTCAGCAAGCCTGCTTGCTGTTATTATAGAATTGCACTTTCCTGTTAGGGAGCCACTTCTTGGCTTCCCTTTATGAGGTGGTAATCATGTTTTCATAAGAGAGGGCTGGGTGAATGGATCATGTCCCTGTGTACAGTGTCAAGGCCTGGGCACTACCCTGTCAGAGGCTTTGCTTTCCAAGAAGACCCTCTTTCCAGGACCCTCACGCTGGCCTTGCAAGTCCCCTCAGTTCAGGTGTGGGCAGTCACTGCAGACTTTGAGTGTGACGTTCAGTGCCCCCACCCCACACCGTACACTAGAAGGGTATTGATTTATGTCTCATCACCAATTTTCTCTTTCCCTGAAGAACATATTTCAGGCTAATATATGGTTTTCAGATCAATCTGACACTGTTCTTCCCAAGGCATTGGAAAATTCTATCTTCTGTGATTTCTCTTAGAGAACTTGGGTAACGGGGGCTGAAGGTCAAAGCTATGTCATGTTACTTTATGTTAGCTCAGAAACCCGCCACCTGCAGGTGCTGGCACAAACTCAGTCCTCAATCTGCTATGGAGCTGGCCAGGTACATGTATATAACATGTCTTGTGGCCCCTCTCCAGGGACACATCTGGTGATTAAGGACCTGCAGCTCCCAGAACAATTTTCCTTTGATGCTCAGGTGTCAGGGCACTTTTCAATTCCACAGACATCTCTGGGAGTCCAGAAGTGAGTGAAACCCATTACCATCCACAGAGGGAAGGCTGCGCCAGCCACCTGCCCCCTCCTCCAGGGTGGTCCATCTCCCTTGACCAGACATCAAGGAGCTGCCTCCTTCACAGCATGAGCATTTTCCCTGGGTGAGGGAGGGCGGTTAATTACTTGCCCCTGCACAACAAAGGGTGTATAAATTGCCTATCATCACTGGTTAGAGTAGAGCAAACGAGACAGAGGGACATGAGTGAAATGGCAGCACACAGGCAGTAGAGGACTAAGAGATGGCCGCCATTAGCAAGTTTTGGTATTTTTGTTTTGTTTTGTTTTATTTTCTGACACAGGGTCAGTCTATGTTGTCTAGGCTGGCCCTGAACTCCAAGCCTCAACAGCTTTCCTCTCCAGCCTCCAGAATAACTGCAATGCCAAGTGTGCACCTGAGAGGATGTTTTTAGCCCTTTAATGGAGGGTGCCCATTCAGACCTATCCCCTTTCTTGATCAGCACATACTCCCTTCTGGCTTTAGGTATGGTCGTCATTCTTTCCCACAGCTTTCCACTGCCTCGTGGAGTTAACAATCCATGTGATGACAGGACAGGGACAGTTCACCTTCCCTGGAACTTTAGGGAGAGAATTGTACCTGGCCATCTGGGTAGGGTCATAGCATGTGGGAAACCAGGAAGGTGGTCCAGGTGGAGAGTGCAGCATGGGGGGGGGTTGCTGTAGTGCTCCAGGTAGAGGTTTTCTGACCTTGCAGGTCAAACTCTGGAAGTGCCTTTGATAAATTCAGTGTCTAGGTTGACCCGACTGGAAGTAATTGATTTTGTAGCAGTACAGCTAGGAAAAGAAGTCTAGTATACTAGAAGTTATGAGAAAGGAGAAGAGCAGGCATGGTATCACCATTTGCGGATCCTATAAATTATATGTTTAAAGGAACTGACCCTACATTTTAAAACTGGTGAGTGAAGTGTTTTCAAAGAGGACCTTGAGTATCTAAAACCCTCATTCTCCATGACAGCTGATAATTGCTCCAAAACAGTGGTTCTTCATGCATCTGATACTAGATGGTTGACCCCGTCTGGGAGTGAGAAACACATCACAGAAATGGGGCAGAATTTCTGTGCAGGGTTTCCCACAGAGCCAGTCTGCCTAAATCCCAGTTGATCCTTCAGTTACAGGGATTGGTCCACGTAGATCTCAGAACTAGGAAGTCCCAGGTTCAGGCCCTTCCCTAGTTTGCTTCTCTGTTGCTTTGATAAGACATCCTGACTAGGCCAGCTTATAGAAGGGACGGATTTATTTGGCATGCAGTTCCAGACAGAGAAGACTCCATCATGGTAGGGAAACGTCAGGCATAGCAGCTGAAGTAGCATGCTGAGAGCTCACATCTTGAACTGAAAGCACAAATCAGAGACAGACAGACAGACAGACAGAGACAGAGATAGACCAACAGAAAGAACTAGAAGTAGCATGATGTTTACTTTCCAAAGTTCACCCCCAGTGACATACTTCCTCCAGCAAAGACACACCTCTTAAACATCCCCAAACAGTGCCACCAACTGGGACCAAGTGTTCCTATGCCCAAGACTATGGCAGACATTCCTCATTAAAACCGCCACAGTCTCACATGACTTGGGGTGTCCTGGGGCAAGTTATATATGAAGCTTGTCTCTCACAGTCCTCACACTCTTCATCCTGCCAGGATGCCTGTTTCTGACCCTTAGTGGCTGAACTCCGATCTTAAATCAAATTCCATGCCATGGTAGTCCTGTCTACTTTCCTGCCTCGGTAGTGCTACTGAACCAAATGGCCATTTCCCCCACAGCTTTGTGTCGTGAGGTGGCCTCTGCCATCAGATTCAAATTAAAGCCCTAACACTCTACTCAGAAGTGACAGATGCACTCCCAGGAGCCATCTCTTTTCCAAACCACATTTCCTGGTGCTTGAATACGGGAGCCAGAGGGAAGTGAGTGATACCCTGAAGAATATGAAGCAAATCCAATTTCCTCTTGACCTTGTCCCTTTGTGGATTCTATTTCTCTTGCTTTATTTATATTTCTTCATTGCCAATGCTGTCGTTCTCAGGCAGCAGGTTCCTAAGTTTC